ATTTGTAATGAATAAATTAAAAATTTCCCTTCATTGTCCTGCAAAGAACAGTAAACAAATTAAGTCCACAATATAAAAAAAAATGAATGGAAACACATCCTCTGAAAAGTTCATCAGGTATGTTACTGTGGTGGGTTGACCCAGGCTGGACACCAGAAGTCCACGAAAGCTTCTCTATTATTCTCCTTCTCAGCTGGACAAGGGAAAGAAAGCATAATAAAAGGCTCATGGATTGAGATACGGACAGGGAGAGATCATTCACCAGTTTCCATCATAGGCAAAACAGATGTGACTTGGGGAAATTAAAACAGTCAAATCAGAGTAGGAATAATAAGAAGGAAAAAAAAAATCTTAAATACACCTCCCCAGTTTTACTCATGATTTTCTCCACCTTCTTTACCCGGAGCAGAGCATGATAGGGAATGAGGACTGATCACACATTGTATCTGCCACTCTTTTCTCCTCAGGGGGAGGACTCCTCACACTCTTCCCTTGCTCCAGTATGATCCTCCCCAACTTCTCCGAAGTGAATCTTTCCCATGGACTGAAGTTTGTAATAAACTGGTCCAGCATGGGTCCCTTCCACAGGGCACAGTTCTTCAGGAACAAACTGCTCCAGTGTGAGTCATGCATGGGGTCACAGTTCCTGCCAGAAGCCTTTGGGCTTCCCAGCCTCCTTTGAGCATCAACATCTGCTCCAGCATGGGGTCTTCCTCAAGCAGCAGGTGGATATCTGCTCCACCATGAACCTTCAGGGGCTGCAGGGAGACAGCCTGCTTCCCTTCATGTGCTGCAGGGAAGTCCCTGCTGTGGTGTCTGCAGCAGATTTATATATGAAAAAATTATAATTTGGCTAAAATCAGAAATAGATGGTCTAGACAATACTTCAATTTATTATGGAAAATTCTATGTTTCCCTTGCATTCTAGGAAAATATAATAGGAAATACTTTTAAATATCTGAGAATACAGTATCAGCAAGAAAGAAGTGAGGTGAGTTGATTTGCTTTAAAAAAAGTAATCACATCATATTTCAAATTCACATGTGATAACAGAGTACTTTAGATGCCCTATTATTTTGTATGAACTTGACAGTGGTAGGTCAATTATTAGAACACTACACAAAGATTTTTTTAGAAGTCCACTCTTACCCAGGAAGAACAGAGCTGAAATCTTTGGACTTTTTATCATGCTACAAATTAAGTACATTTGCCCAACAACATTTGAGACACTTACACTCTCAAAACACCTTCACATTAAGGCACATGTAAACAATAAAAATTTTGCATAATGTGTTCCTTGTAAAGAAAATGTGATCTTTATTCAGACTACATCCATAGTTCTCTGAGTAAAGGCTTTAAGCACATATTTTATGACAACCATTATTTTTTACCACTTTCCAATCTATCCACCAAAAATACAGTAGTTAATTCAAAACTTATCAACATTTCAAATTCAATTAATCTAATACCTTTGCTGGTTTTTTTGTTTTGTTTTAGGCTTGTTTGTTTGTTTTTTGGGGTTTTTTTTCTCTGTCATAACCAAGCTCTCCGAATATGTATGAAGGAAAATTGTCAGCTTGTTTTGCAGCAAGAGCTAATTTAAGCTGGTAATGGGGAACAGAAGATATAGAGGTAATGTCTTCGCCTAGGAAAGTGTGAAATATATACTGTCCATCCTCATCAGCTCTTATCTGGAGAGTGCTCTAAGCACCTCTTTCATAGACTGTTCTGGGAAGGAGGTTCTAACACTTCATCTATACTATTTAACTAGTGTTTTAAAAATTGTCTTAATATTTCAGACTAGAGTATATACTTGAATCCAGGTTACCTGTGTCAAAGCAGCCTAGAGAATCAATCTAGTTTTCTGCTCAGTGATTAGTAAATATTCCACTAAAAGTGACCAACAGCAAAATATGTGAAAGATTCCAACCAGAGCATCCTAGAGGCAAGCATTGGAAACTCTTACATGTTCAGATATTCTCAGAAGATTTAACTCCGAACTTCTATATGCTGGATATCCCATAACGACATTGCTATTTCTTTCACCAATTAATGTCTCAAACCCCAACTTTTCACTTGGGCAAAAAGGAACATTTCATTAGATCTTATTTAATTTTTATTGTTGTTGAGAAAAAATGGTGAAAATAATTTCCTCAAACTAATAATTTTCTTTGTTTCACTTCCAAAGTACAAAAAATGCCTTAGTTCAGCTTAAGTTACCAAACATCAAAATAAGCAACAAGACAACAAGAACCCTGAAGGGCATCTACAGAATTTTTTTCCACTACTTAAATGAAAATGGCCTACCAAGATTTTCTCACAAAAAAGACTTGGTATACCTGAAATATTGTAACAACTAACTGGAAGACTACGGAAAATTAACACTTCATAAAGAATTCCAAGTCGTCTCATGGGTAACTCCAACCTATCTACTTGATGTATGTTCTGGCTCATTGTTTTACTTTGAATCAAAAAGTAGGGATATTTTGTTACACAGCAGATGGGTAGAAGAAAAAAAATTTGAGTTTTTTTTTAAATCAATACGTATAATAGTCATGTAAAGAACCAAAGTTTCTAAGAAATTATTTTATAATAATACTTATTATCCAGATCAACCATTAAGTTTTTAGTAATTTTTATAAATTATGTACCTTTTTTTTCCAAAATTAAAGAGCCTGGTTTTAGATTAGCTAAAGTCTAAGGGGATATAAAGTTTACCGTTCTAAATCTAATTAACAAATTGTTTTTAATTAAGCTTTCCAAATCTGTTTTTCCTAGCATATGGGGGGGATACTTTCCCATAATTGAACATATCAATCTAATTTAGGGAATATAAATGACAGGCTAAAAAAAGAATATGCTTCCAGTCTGCTTCTCTACATGAGCAATTATTAAATTAGCATTGTAAATTTTTATGTTTTGTAAACAGATAATGGGAATTTCCATATATAAAGTAATCTTATTATATCATTTGAATATAGCCAAAGCCTTTTGCAAAACAAGAAATGAAATCATTGTGTGAAGCTCATGACTAAATACATAAAACACATTCAAGAAAAATCAAATGCATATTTAGCTATTCAAATGATTAATAATGTCTGTATGTCATTGGTATTCATGGGCAGGATGGGCTCACTAGCCTTCTGGCAATCATCCTAGAAGAAGGACAACTCTAATTCCAAATCCAGGCAGATGGAGCTCGTTTAGTCCTGTAAGGCCATCCATCTAAGAGAAGGATACTCTAATTAAACCTACATCCTGAGGACCTCGCTGCCACCATCCAAGCTCTCTTGGCCCCAGCAGATGAACCTTAGGATTAAAGGGTGGGTCAGTTCCGTGCACACTGTGTCTCACCTAAAAAATCCATTGCGCAGGCTCGAAGGCCTTACCCACATTTGCAAATGTAGCTGGTCCCTGTAGCAACAGGACCAGCGCGCTTGTAACAAACGTGGGCAGAACCCTCCCCAAATCTTCGTTCGCGAAGCCTAGCCATAAATGAATGCCATTGGTGATATCTCACTAATTATTACAAATTATTTTTTAAAAATTATTTTAGCTGACAACTAGTTCAAAAGATTTCAGTTTAAGAGCTAGAAGAACTCATTGGCAATTAAGTAATATTCTAATAGAGATAATTAACTATGTAGGTAGCAGTATGAATTAAATCAAATTGTAAAACACTGTTCGCTAAAGTTTAGAATTAGTCTATAGACTTCCACTACACCCTAAAGTAATAAAAAATATTTTACTTACAAGCATCACTTATAGAAACCAATACTGATGCTTTCAAAACAATGTAATTATCTAATTCGGGATATTTTCTTGTGATAAAATCAAAAATAATTTTGTTTATTTGGTCTATGCTATGTTTAGAGTAGGGTTAATATCGATATTAAAAAACCAAGAGTCTACTGAATTTAATGTGTCTAGACAACCACCTGTTGTATCACCTGTTGTTCACACGCCTGCCTGCTGTGCAGAACCCCCATAATGCTTTATGAGCCAGTTAAGAGTTTAAGATTTTACTGGAGATCATAACTGTTATTTATGGGTTTGTATACATCCTCTTTTTTTGTGAATCAATAGCATGTTTAAACCAATAAAATAAACACAAGGATTTGTCATATTGACATGTTTCTTGAGTACTGCGGTTCTGTGTTACCGCAAAACTACCACACCAGAAAACCAAAGCGTATATGATTTATTTTTCCTACTTAAGTGAATTTGATCTTGAAACTGGATATCTACTACTCTATTTGTTGGACTTGTTTTACATCATCTACATAATGCATCTACACTAAGATCAAGAATTGCAGTAGTCAAAATAACAAAAATTTTATTATTACTGTTAAGTCAACAAACAAACAAACAGTTATAAATACTTCTTAATTGTAGTATATTTGGAGTAAAACCAAACCCAAAAAGTACTGTGACTACTCAGTCACAGATCAGGACGGAAATTTTTAGGTAAATATATCACCAACCACACTCAGGGCAAATTATTTAGTGCTGTGTACAGTTCTCTGCACAGAAACTCCTCCAGAAGGAATCTGTGACCAACAGGTGTGGTCAGTTCTAATTCCCCCAGCTCTGTGCTGAAAAGGCCACCATGCCATTCACTTTCTGATATTATGAAATTCTCTGTAGGCTTCACCAATCCTTACCAGGGCCACAGTCCATTCCATTCCATTTCTAAATATGTACATTTTAAATACAATAATGGTTAGAATAGTTAGATCTACAATGAGGTGAATGAGTCTACAGTGCCCTTCATCTTGATGCTAAATCATTGGACTATATTTGGAAATAATTTTACAGCTGAAATTGGAATATCAACAATTATGCCATGGTAACAATCATTAATGTGTTTTTTTATTTTGTTTCATTTTTTTTTTAATCAGCAAGCCTACCTATTGACAAAAGGAAAAGTAACAAAAAGTTCTACTTCCACATTTCACCATATTTTTTTTACCACATTAAAATTGCAACATTTGACTTACCCTATTGTAGGTGGTTCAGAACCTTCTACTTCCAAATAATCATATTTTTCTTCCATTTGGAAATCTGTAAATATGAGCGAGATAGTATCACCAGGCTCTGCAACAATTGTCCATGTGCAATCTGCATTATTATGATATTCATTAGGAAAGTTGGGGCTCGAGATGATTCCACTGGATCCTCTCATAGTTCCTCCACAAGCATCCTCAGCTGTTAAAAAATCAAATAATTATAAATATCATTAAAATTACCCCTTAAAAATTGATACTTTCTTGCTGAGGATAGAACTTTATTGCCTTTTAGGTGAACAATGACTCAAGATTTTGTAACACGTTTGACTTAGAATGCAGCTTCAAATTTAAGGTGTTAAAGAAGTAATTGCTTCATATTTCAATTATTTAAGAATTATTATACTTTTGCCAGCACATATTTTTTATGATCTACTACTTATTAGTAGATTACAAACTTTGATTAGTATTGTTTCACTCACTTTACAACAGCATGCAAAAATGTCATTATTTCCTCTTTAACCAAAAATGCTTTCATAAAGCAAGTTGAGTTTAATCCCTATCATATGCAGTCTGACATGTAATGTGCAGCAGTCACGTTATATTGAGAAAAGAAGCATGAGAATCATACCCATCTTATGCTAATTATATTGTTATATTTTATTTTAGTGAGCATTCTCCAATAATCTTTTTCCAGTTTTCAAACAGCTGATCAGTTTTCAAAACAAAGCCATTCATGAGTGATTTCTTAATGTCAGATGCAAGATACTTTCACAATTAAGCTGTTTACATCAGAGTCATTTTAATGGGTACAAGTTTTAATAAATCAATTATTTCAAATTTGACCATAGGAATACATTCCTCACAGCATGTGAATAATCATGAAATTATTTTACCAATTACCACAACCAATTATTTTTTGTGAGGGTGACCCTTGACACAAGAATGCTCTATTTTTTAGCATACATGATGTGACTTTTGGGAATGGTCCTGGGCAGGGCCAGGAGTTTGACTCAATGGCACTTTTGGGTCCCTTTCAACTCAGCATATTTTGTAATACAACCTTATACTGAATAAACTAGGTAAACATTGGATTTATAAAATTTATAGAATCAGTCCTAATAGAACTAATTCTACGAGAAAACAATTCTCAAATGACTGATGTTATGTGTCTTCTTTATTAATTGTGTGTATGCCTAATAACTCAAAAACTGTTCTTGAAGATCTTATGGTAAATTTTTTTCTGTGAGCTAATAAGATTGTTCAGCACTGTAGTTCCACTTTCAAAAATGGAAATACCTTTCAAATAACTTACATGGAAATATTGCATTGCTTATTCAGTTTATTAGCCAAATGTTTGAAGCATACTTGAAAAACAGTTCTTTTTCTGCTTAATTAGAGTGCTAACATGAATAAAACTTGCCCTAGAGTCTGAAAACCCAGTCAATACTGATGAAAAATTAATGAAAAAGATAGAAAAAAACCTTTAAGAAGTATAGCGTCACAGAAAAAAAACTTCTGACACATATAATGGTTCAGTTCTAACAGAAAGAAAAAATTCATGACTGTAAGAAATGTCTTAATTGCAGCAGTTTAGGAGTTTAAAATACTATGTTTTGTCTCCAAAAAATTTTGCTAAATTATGCCATGGACAGATAGAAAAGCAAAGTAAAAACATATCTTAGATTTAATCTCACTATTTAGCCAGTGCACTTTGAATCCACTAAATACAACAAAATTGAGAAACATCATCACATCACAGGTTTTGGTCCTTTACTGTGAAAGGAATAAAAAAAAATAAAAATAATAATAGTAATAACAGTACTGTTTTCATGCATTAAGGACATTCAGAAAAATAATTTTAAATTGCTGGTTAACAGCAGTAAAATGTCCATTAAAAGAATGGGTAACATACTTGTTCAACGATTTTGAAGGAGTTGTATATTGATTTTTAAATATTGATTGGAATGTTTTATCAAGTACTGATTTTAAAAAGTTCTTACAGGTAAAATTTCATAGCTAAATTCTTGAAGCTTTTTCAAACTGGAAAGACAGATAGTTGCCTGTGAATAGCTTTTCAGCTCATGTAATAAGTTAAAACCAGAACATTAGAACCGTCATGAAAGACTAAACACTTTGGAACAGCTTTTGCAGACTCAAAAATAGAGGTTCTTTTGAAAAATACCGTACTACAGAACTCATGTTTTGTTTTTCAAAACTCAGTTACAGAGTAACCTATCTTAGTTCCTAGCAATATAAAAAATTGCTTACTAACAATGTTGCTATATTCTACAAACACTCAAAAAAATTAGTGTGGCAGCACTAACTTAACCACAAGCAATGTCAATGACTGTGTCAATCTGCTATTTTGAGCCACATCTGAGATTTTTGCCAAAATTTTTGCCACATCTGAGATTTTTGCCACATCTGAGATTTTTGCTACTAGCAGCAAAATGGCCCAAACAAATCATCATGTATTTTGTTCTGATTCATGTAGAAAATCTGCTACAAATACAATTATTATTATTATTAACTACTTTTATATAGCACACTATAATCAAGTGTACACTAGATATCATTTTAGTCTCTGTAATGCAAGCATTAGACCAATAAAGAACAGAATTACTGTGCTGTGGTCCTATTTTCCTCCACTTAGAATATCATTTGCTTGTGATTTAATTGGTTCCTGATCAGATTCCCACAGGTAAAAACTCCCATCTGGGAGAAGGCTTACAAACTTTAATCCCCATGCACATGTTTGGTATCTTAAATTGTGAAGTCACTGTAAAAAAAGATTTGCTCTTCAGCTAAATTGTCACACTGTCAACAGCAATTCTATCACTGACAATGCATAGTGCACAAGACGTTGACAAATAAAAGAAAATGTAGTAATTGTTTCTGTGGAATCCGCACGGAAAGAGCACCTGTATTTCTTTCACGTTGCAATAGCATAATTGCTTAGATGCCAGCTATGAAATTTTATGAACAAAAAACAAACTGGTGAGGGAACAGTTAGGAAGACTAACAGTGGTTGATCTCCATCAATGTGCAACAAGCCCAGCAAGGATAGGTAAACAAGGAAGAAAGAGAGGAAAGATAATCTTTGCAGTGATTTTGGTACAGAACCCTGAGAACCTCTTTCCCTGCCTTTCCGTAACCTTCTGAATTAACTTTATCAAACCACCAAGGTAGGAATCCTCAAAGATATTTAAGTGTCTAACCCCCTTTTCCCAAAGGGACAGGCAAACCCATTTGTGGGACTGTCTTTGCCCAAGGACCTCGGTGTACTTGATGGGTAATGCAGGAGGATGGTGAGACCTGGTGTGTGCCTCAAGATTTAACCTTGGGAGGAAAAATCTTGGGGTATTAATATTGGAGGGAAAATAATTCATGGTGTAAATTGTATGTTGCAGGAAGTGAAGTAGCAGGAATACAAGAACCGATGGAGAGCAAATTTTGTGAGGAGCAAGGAGAGTGCAACAGTGACCTGGGCTGGGCTGGTGTTGGTACGCAACGATTAAGCGTGCTGCTTCTCTTGTCCTGACCACCCATCCTGACAAAATGGAGCCCAAATCATGGCCTGTTTTTGAACATCTGGAGGGGTGGAAGAAACCCATGAAATGGGAAAATAATATCTATATGTGAAAGGACAGGGGATAGTAGTTAATGAAAACTTATTAATCTGTATTTTGGGTATAAGGATCCTTTAAGGTTGTAGTATAAGTTGTATATGTATGTGTTTTATGTTCTCAGACCTAATACACACTAAAATCACTGCAATAAAATGTAGTATGTAAACAGCAGTTAAGCACATGAATGATTTGAAAGAATTGTGTGTGTTCCTGTCCTTTTAATTTCCAGTTATCAAATATGAAGTAAAACATTTACAGGAATGGTGAGAAGACAACACTTCAGTTAAGACTTGATAGAATCTGACATTTTTTGTTCAATTACAAATACATAGCTAATACTGATGATATTTTTTTAAAAATCTACTTTTAAAATTCATACTCTATATTTTCAAATTAAATGTATTTTGTCATGTAGTGGGAAATTTCATCCAACAACAGTCTTGCAAATGTGATATGAAGGCATAAATGCAAAAAACACACATACTGCCAAGATGTCACTTTTCCCAACATACTTCTCTGATCTTAACCATATGCTGAAAGTGGAAGATTTTTCAGAGTGATATGCAAGTGGGGACTTGGCGTAGAAAAGCTTTTCAAGATATTATGAATTCAAATGAAGATCTATGTTTGAATATGCATAAGGGCTTTTATGCAGAGGGAGTATCACTGATATAATGAGTGATGATTATGAGAGCAATGTTTTGGCGTTGATTTTTATTTTTTCTTTCTGTGGGCATAGATTGTTTTTAGTTATGTACATAGATACCTACAGCTTTTATCTCTCTCTCTTTTTTTTTTACACAATGTTATGGTCAAATGCCCATTAAAAGAAATAATGTGAAATGTTTAGATGTTCAAATAATTTCTGGTGAAAATTAATTTAATAACATTTCATATTTTATTTTCTTCCTGATTTGCTGTTCACTGATCATTTTTCATAACAAATTTTGAAAATAAATTTCTCTAGTTAAGTCTTATTTAATTTTCTGCTTTTTCTTGTAGGTTTCAGTGATATTCACAATAATATTATATAAATACTGAATTGTAAATTTCAATAAGATAGATGATCAAAGACAGGCAATGTTATCAGGGATTTGTAGGCCATGCAAATTCATGTCTTCCATTAAGAATTCAATGAGATTGCATGGTAGATCAAGCTTCAATTTGGCACACAATATATGGCATCATCTTATCTATCTAAATATTTATAATGAACAGAACAGTCAAACTTAAGTGCTTAACTCATCACAGAGTAATAGACATCTGATATCTATTCTTGAAAATACTGCAAGAAAAAAGAGTACAGCGACTTTCCAAGTTTAAACAATGATCTTTAGTATAGCCAACAGAAGTTCTGAGCAAGCTGAGCCACATTTTAAGAAACCTATCATGGAAAGCCAAGACGAATCGCAGTAATTCTCTACACCTTGATCTTAGCCACACAAGCTCTGTGAAATTCTTGGCGCACACTTCACACTGTAGTTCAGGTACAATCCCAGACATACTGTTGTCTGCTCTTTCAAATTTTAGACATTTTTATTTCAGACAAATTATCTGAGCAATCTAAAGT